TTTTTTTTTTTTTTTTGTAAAACATCTACCTACCTCACTGTAGCCGTGCGGAACGATTGCCAGAGTGAATGCCAAACTGTTGGTTTGTGGTTTGTCATGTGGGGAAAAGGGAAATTTGGAGGTTGGAGTGCAAGTGTGCTATTAAGGAAGGATACAAGTGAGCAAAAAACCGTGGTGTGGGTGCTTTACAGGAAGATTGGGTTTGTCTGCACTGAGCCATCCCATTTATGCCGGCGCCTGTGTGAGAAGTTGAATAGATGAAGAGTGAGACAGTTGAACAGAGACACAGTCTAAGTCCTGCTTCAGTTTTAGCTTTAGTTTCATTTGAGCTGTGAAATGTCAGTAACGAGAACAATTCAACAACATTAGATTCTTCTTCTACTCTCATCACCAGGTTGGTGCTTCAAGGTGTGAAGGTGTTTTTTTTTTTTCTTTCTTTTTTTCAACCATCAGTTGGAGACGCAGAGAATGCTGCTCAGGTACGTGCCCTCACTCACTCCTGACTCTTTTGAAAGTGAATTTTTAAGAACTGTTAGTTTTACGCAGGGTTTTTTTGTGATTGAAGTTTAGCTTGTGTTTAGTTTTAGTGTCAAAGATTACTTTTACTTTCTGTTATCAGCATGTGAACTTTTAATATTTTAAAATCACAATGTACTTGTAACGACGGCTAAACACTATATAAAATACAGAACGGCTGGTGAAATCTACCGGTAACTAAAATGATAAAAGCTGTTTGTACAATTACCAAGTTAATCAAAGGAGCACTTTAGATACTGTATAGGAGATTAATCCATATTAGGTCATACTCTACTTTATATTGTTAAATAGCTTTCTTTCAGTTTAGTAAAAATAATTCATTTTAATAATAATTTTTAATAAATTAAAAAATAGATATTTAGCATTGCTGTGACATCATACAGTTCAGACCTTAATTGTCATGAGAAAAGGGTTCAGTTATTTATTCTAAAAAGAAAATTGAGCATGTGATGAATAAAGTTTCATATTCTCCCAATTATATTTGGGAGGACATTTATGGAGAAATGTATTTTTCTGAAGGTCTGAGATGTGGTTGTGGTCATTTGAAAATATCTGTACTGTTCAGATAACCATTATAAAATGGTTAAAATAAATACACACCATTTAGTTTGTTATAAGAAATATTGTGAGATTATGAAGTATTTTATATATTATATATACATTGACGTGTTTGTCCAGTTTTTACAGCATTCATATCTAAATGTAAAATACAGTATAACAAACGAAAGTTAATTGAACAGTGTTTTACATAGCTTAATATTTATCAATGGAATGTTAGAAAGTGACAGCAAAGCTGAAATGGAATAATTATAAAAGTTTCTCAATGACTCTGATATTGAACAAATAATAATAATAAAAAGTAATAATAATAATATAAATATAAATAAAAATAGTCATTTTTTTCCCAGCAGCAGCTAGGCCTCAGTTTTATAGTTTCGCTGCCTGCTGTGTTCCCGCAGATTGTCTTATCAGGGACTGGCATAGCCTGACTGTAGGACTGCTGAAGGGAGGAGTCAACGCAACTAAACTGAACTCTTCATTTATTCCAAAAGAACTCACACAACACCCCAAACAGTCATTAATTCAGCAGCAGCGGGAACATGGACATGTAGTTCAAGGTGTTTACTGAAAATGTACGGTGAAGGAGGGACGGGCTGTGGATGTTTAGCTTAAATATGTATATCTAATACGAAGAGCTGTGGAGGTATTACATAACTTGACATTTGTCGTTGTCCAGCACGAGTCTGTCCTGAATGTGTTCAACGACCAATTGTGTTCTCCCACTGAGGAGGACCTGTGAGGTAAGTCTCTGTTTTGATTGATATTTAATTAAACACACGTGTGTGGATACGTCCATGACCGGAACTGCATTTGTTTTCTGCTATAAGGTACTCAGTTCTCCGGGGAGGGTGTGCGGAGGAGTTCCTATGCCATCTAATTTCTGTGGAGCCAGGCCTCATGGAGCTCCTCAGGACACAGAGATGGATGTGGCCTGGCAGGAACTAATGGCCATCTCTGAGCTGCAGGTAAAAAAAAACCAACTAAGTTAACTGAATGTTGTCTTGTTTTTCATTATGTGGAGGTTAATTTATACTGTGTTTACACAGGGAAAAACCACAAAGTACTTTACAAATGTCAACATTATTTAAAAAAAAACTAGGCATAAATATATAACATGTACAGGTTAAAAACATGTATTTTTGTATATTCAACATGTCTATAGATATATCCGTGAATATGCGTGGACGTATGTATATCTACATTTATGTGCATGTGGTGTGTGTGTGTATGTGCATGTACGTTGGGCTATACATTTGTTCTCCTTCCTCTGTACATCTTGGCCACAGCTAGGCATTGTGGTTGTACAGTTATTTTTTTTACTTCTCTCTTTGTGCAACCACTATTGCATGTTTCATGCTGTTTTGTAAAAATCAATAAATGGGTTATTGAAAAATCATTAAAATAAATAAATAAAACAGCCTTAAAGTTCCAAATAAATGTAAAAAAGACAACATGTCACCTAAAAACAGTTTGGTCTTGAGGTGATTTTTTATGAGAAATTCACAGATTAAAGGCAACATGAAGAGAGCGGTAGTGTGTTCCACAGCCTGCAGGGTTCAGTTCCAAAAGAGCAACATCCTCTAGTTTTTAAAAGTTCTTGGTACTTTAACAGCCTGTGACCTGCTGACCTGCAGCTCAGGACAGGGCTGTGATGTTCCAACAGGTCAGAGACACACCTCAGAGCTCAGCCATTTAGGACAATGAATGTTAGAACTAAGGTTTTACACTGGATTGTAAATTGCACAGGTACTAAACTAAGTGTGGCGTGTTCTCATTCCCTCGTGTTAGTTTAGCAGCAGTTTTTGACTTCACAACAACCTATACTGACATTTAAAACCTTTTTCTAAATATTTCTGAATGAGGACTGTTGTTTTCAGATGCTGCTGCAGAAAAATCTGAGATATGGTTTCCACATCTATATCTGCATCTAATCTCAAATGCTTGGCTTATTTTGGGAACACTTGGTGTTTCGTACTGTTGTGATGTGACCAACAATGGTCTGTTTGAGGAAAAGCAGGATGAAGAGATTGGGGGGGGGCCCAACAGTGTAGGATGCTGGAGGCCCCCTGCCCGGCACAAAAGCCATCTGTTTCCAGATGAAACACGATCACATCTACGAGTGCCCTTACAGGGGTGGCACACTAGAGTGAGGGGCAAATTGCATTAAATTGTGTGAAATATGGTTACACTAATTATGTAACAACCCATTCTGCTGTTGAACGGAATTTGGCCTTTTTCCTGCCGGTTTTAAATAATTGTCTCTCACACTCCCATTTTTCCCACACAGGAGTTCAATATTCCTGGCGATGGTTCCTTTGAATCGACCCAGTATCAGAGCCCTGAGTCTATGGTCCCTGTTGGAGGATATGGGATGGCTCAGTGTCACCTTGAGCGACCTTCTGCAGCCTGTAACGTCAGCTCTGCTGACACTTTCAACGGATGTTACCCTGAAGAGGCTGCTGCTGCTTATCGTCCAGGCATCAACCTGGGGCCAACCTACGCACACGGTGAATATCAGCACAATCAAAGATCCCATCCCACCTCCTCACAACCTACGCCATCACTCATGGCTCTCAGGGAACAGATGAGCTTCGCAAGGATCAGTCAAGGACACAGAAGAGTCAACACAACACACTCCTCTCAGGGCACGTATCAACATGGGCTGTGGACTACACATGGACAATGTGTTCGCTCAGCTGATGACATTGAATCAGACTCTGGTCTGTCTCTGGGTTCTAGTCCTCCTCTGCCTTCTCCTGATGATCCCATAAATGCAGTTCCAGGGTACCAGGGTGTAGACGTAGGTATGACATATAGTGACGGAGAACAAGGACTGACAGAACATGCCAGAAGAGCTCATATACATTACTCTTTGGATCATCACAGCTCACCTCAGTCATACACAGACTCAGGGGCGCAGTCCAACTATTTAGCCCAGCTGACTTCTCATACACAGCACAGCGCCATACAAATCAAACAGCACAACTCGGCTGCTGTGCGGAATCTTTACAGTGACTCTGGAATATCCAGCAGAGGGAGCTCTCACCTAAAGCTGTACAGCAAACCACATGGGAGCTCACCTTCTCAAGCTCCTTTCAGCAGAGATGAGCGAAGGGCAGTGGCTCTGAAGATCCCATTCCCCATAGACAAGATCATCAACCTCCCAGTCGACGACTTCAATGAGCTCATGACACAGTACACTCTGACAGACACTCAAATGGCACTGGTCAGGGACATAAGGAGGAGGGGCAAGAACAAGGTTGCTGCTCAGAACTGCAGGAGGAGGAAGCTGGAAGGTATATTTCACCTGGAACAAGAACTGAACCAGCTGCAGGTCCAAAAGGAACACTTGACCCAAGAAAAACTTGAGTTCCAACGCAGCTTAGCGTTCGTAAAACATCGCCTTACAGACCTGTACACAGAAGTATTTGCTCATCTACGTGATGAAAATGGACAACCATACTCGATAGATGAATACTCTTTACAGCAAACACCAGATGGAAAGATTTATCTTGTGCCCAGAGATTACACCAAAGAAAGGTCAATGCTCAAGAACTAGTCACGCTCTTAATTTTGTAAATGCTTAAATTAAAAGCTGGTGTGAAGAAGCCATTCCATGTAAATCACAAGACAACTTCTATTAAAAAAAATAAACTTTATTTAAAAATTTACTGTATATATATATATTCACATAAATACACACTGCATAGGAGTGAGGGATAAAATTCTTCAGCACCACAATTGTCAACCTACAGGGCAAAAGCAAAGTGTTAAAATTCAACATTACAATAAAGTGTGGTTGGCAATGATGTAATTTTTGTACCTGATTGACAAAGTCAACAAGAAAAAGGATGCCAAACCACATCTGGATGACCACGCGTAGTAACCTGGAAAACAGACACGCCAAGTAAGAAAATGTGCAACATTTTAAGATGACAAATATATGACCATGCAATTTGCTCTTAAGCACAAAAAAAAGAAAAGAAAAAAAAAGAGGATAATTTACCAGCCACTGTTTTCACATTATTTGATTTTACAGCTTACTGACTATATTATAAAATGCCATCAGTAGTTGAGAATGCTGGTCTTACCTACAGGCAGCTTAAGCATAGCTGCTGCCTGCTAGCCTCAGGATTCTGTTCTCACTGCTCCCTGCTTCAATGATCCTGGCGGTGGTTTTGCTACTTCTCTCCCTCAGCTGGCTTCCATGGCTAGCCTCAAAGACTTTGCATGTAAGCTAGCAGCCTCCAGATGATCACTCTTGTCTGTAGATACTTTGGGGGCTCTGTTTGGCGATTGCTTTTGTGTACAGCTCCTCACCCTCCCACCAAACTTCAATGCAACCCCCCCCTTTCCCAGACCACTGAAGAGGCTAACAAGACTTATAAAAAACTGAAAGTTGGTTTATTTCAGCTTGATGCAGTTACAAATAAAAACCAGACTTAAAAAGAAACATCTACATAAAACCTCATTGGAATGCTTGCTTTCCAAAAACACAAGATTGATGAAAAGAAAAACAAATATTTAAACAAAGACCCTCCATGATTTATCTAATGTACACCTCTTCTTGCAGCAGCTGTAACCTGCCACAACTGTTTGGCTGAGCAGATTTAGGACGTAAACCTGCAGCTGCCCTGTCCCTTCGCTTGCTCTCCTCTCCTTGCTCTCCTCTCCTAAGTACTCAGTCCTGTTGAACAATATGGGACAACAATGTTAAACTGTGCACTGACTTTCATAACCTGAGATCCACAGTGATTTAATCTTAAATCTGCCCTTAAACGAACCCCTTTTCCATTAACTGGTTTTGTAATTGGTGAACTTCTGGTATGAGTTGTTGCTCTTACCAGTCAAACTTAAAATCGTCCTGGGCGACCATATCCACTGTTGCCAGAGCCTCCTCCATAACCACCTGGAAGTAAAGCCATATATTGTTAAAACAGTCACATTGGACAACATTAATTAACACACACAGCACCTGATGACTTACCAAAGCTTCTATTTCCTCCACCGCTGCCACCACCTCCAAAGTTGTTCTTCATTGGGCCAAAGTTAGAAGCCTGGGAGTCATAGTGTCCCATATTGTTGTAGTTGCTGCCGCCGCCGCCACTGCCGCCGCCACCACCACCACAGTTGCCTTTGATTTCAAAACAAGACCTCAACTTTGAGAAAGGCACCAGAGCAGAAAAAAAGGAGACCATCAACAAGAGTCAATAACCTACCGTAACCGTTGTCGTAGCCATTTCCACCGTAGCCGCCGCCACCGCCCCCTCCTCCACCACCACCTTGGTTGTACCCTGGGTTATATCCACGGTTGCCACCATTGTTGTATCCACCAGGACCACCTGGGCCTCCGCCATAACCTAAAATTCATAGTTTAGTATGACTTGAATTGCAGTAAATTTCCAAAGCTACTGCTTAAGTGAATTGTGTTACTCACCCCCATCACCACCATTGCAATTGTAAGGACCATCCCCGTATCTACCCCTGCCACCTGAGGGTGAAACAAGGCTAGATTTAGATACAAATGAATTCAGAAAAAGGTTATCTCTACTGAACATGTTGAAGACATCTCACCTTGGTTGAAGCTTCTATCATATTCATAAGGTCTGCCGCCTCCACCACAACTATAGGAGTTACGTCCTGAGGAGGGGGAGCTGAGTTAGCATTGAAAAGTGCAACATTTGGTTGCTATGAACAAACATTAAAGAACCTTACCTCTAGAGCCCATTCCTGCATTGTTCATTTCCTGCTTTGTAAGAGCTTTTCTCACCTCACAGTTGTGGCAGTTGATCGTGTGGTATTTTTGGACTGTAGGGGAAAACAAAGACTTAAACACTGCACAACTGGCATTGTACTCACTCACATTAGGACTTGCACTTACTAACAATCCGGTCGACAGCATCATGGTCATCAAATGTGACAAAAGCAAAACCCCTCTTTTTGCAAGTATTCCGGTCAGTCATGATTTCAATAACTTCAATTTTGCCAAATTGTTCGAAATAATCACGGAGGTGTGACTCTTCTGTATCCTCTTTGATGCCACCAACAAAAATCTTTTTCACAGTTATATGGGCACCTGGTCGGTTTGAGTCCTGTGATTAATGAGGGGAAAAAAAGCCCCACTGTTAGACATTTTGTTCTAGAACTAACAACTCTTATTGGGGCAACATTGGGTCAAAACCACATACCTCTCTAGAAACTGCACGTTTGGGCTCTACTACTCTGCCATCAACCTTGTGAGGACGAGCTTCCATGGCATCATCCACTTCTTTAACTGAAGAGTAAGTTACAAAACCAAACCCTCTGGATCTCTTGGTAGTTGGGTCTCTCATCACCTGGTTGGACATAAAACATTCATATTTAGGAACAGTTCTAACGGGAACCCCAAGCATTTATATTATAATAAGCATAAAATAAACAAGGGGTTAGATTTTTCAATGTCGAATTTTCATTCTAAAAAAGGCTTACCACACAATCTGTGAGAGTCCCCCATTTCTCAAAATGAGCCCGCAGGCTTTCGTCTGTGGTCTCAAAGCTCAACCCCCCGATGAACAGCTTGCGCAGCTGCTCTGGTTCACGTGGGACCTACACAATAGAACAAATACGTAAGAAGACAATCGGGGACATCCACAGTGGCATCAACTGAGCGAATACACTACACTTTAAAATTAGAGTTCTCATATGCACAGATGTTAACGCACCACTGCGTCACATCACAATTCAAAAACGGACGGAGAAAATCGTCGCCATTAACGTTGACTGGTGCTCAGATTTGAAATGGGAATAACCAGACCAAAATGAAAATAAAATGAATCACTTTTGACTCGAAATAGTATACGTTTCATTTCAATCAATACTGAAGGCTCACGATGTACGATATAACGGCATAATGATAGCGAATTGAACAATAAACCACGAGGCCTGACTGCTACAAAATGGCGACCATACAACGCATCAAAAGACGCAGCTTGAATCGCCGCACTATGATTCAATTACGCGTAAACACATACATGCTTGCTTTTAACAGTGGACCAAACAATACTGAAAACAATACTCACGTCTTTCGACATCGACATTGTGCCTAAAATTCTGAGGTGGATTTTTTCTGCTCGAAATGAGGTGCTGTGCGTTGGTCGAGACCGACTCCCACATCAACAGCACAATAAATAGTAAGGACATACCCATAGAACAAGTTGATTGGTCAGTCATTCCCGCTGGTGTCTGTCGTCACTTAATGTTGAATTCTGATTGGGCAGGGCACAATCAATCATTTAGTACATTCAGTGGCACGGGAGACAAGCAGACATTTCATGACAATAAAAAATGTTTTAAAGACGTCTGGCATGTGAGATTGCCGGGGGAATACCAATTATTTTAGGAAACAATACAAAAGCGTTCACAAATGTTGCCAGGATCATTGTAATCGATTATGGATTAAAGGGAAAAGCCCACTCACAAAATAACCCACATCTTTTGATTATAGCTGTGAAAATTCACTCAATGAACATACATGTTTACGTTGGGTTTCATTGAATGTGATAGGTGTGCGTATGTACTGTATGTATGTGTAAATAGATATACGTATACAAGTACACGCACATATATATATATAAATAAATATAAATATATAAGCCGTCAGCTGAACGAGGGGCGGGCACGTTCATTGTGTTCCTCAATCGCGCGCTTTTTACGTACAGACCACACACACCATCTTTATGTGGTAACAAGCTACGTGCTAAGTTAGCCTCCACACTGGCCTAAGAAATTACTAGTCTCTGAAAATACCACTGACGACACTGTGATCTGGACGCTTAGAGGGTAAGAGTTGTTTAACACATGACGAGTGTGTAATGATTCAGCAACTTATGTGCACGTTACTCGCGTGTCTTGTGAAACCTTCATGAAGGGGGTTAGCCTGCAGCTAACCACCGTAGCTTTTCAACTAAGCGGCTAGGCTAATCAAACGAGCCACCTATCTCTTCTACGCGTTCCCATACTTTTAATAGGCGTCTACTTTGCCGAAACAAATTAACAGTGTACGAAACGAAACAAAAAAGTGTAACGTTCAAAGTAAATAGGTTTAAAATTTTAAACGAACGTGTTGCATTGTAGCTTAGCTGTTGATGCACGCTGGAATAATAACAATGAATGGACAGCTGTATGTGGCGTAAGAATATCAAAGAAAGGTGGTTTTTGTTATGTTGACCTGTGTTTATACAGCTCTACGATGATCTGTTTTTGTTCGTTCTTTTTTCTGGAACCCATCAGCTGTAAGCAACCATACGTTCCTTGTTAACGTTGGCTTCCGTGTTATTCCTGTTTCTACAGGGAAGTGCTTGGCCAGCAGTAGCCGAGTGTGGAAAATAGACTCTGCAATGGGTAAAAAGTCTCGTGAAGAGGAATCTTCATCTTCAGATGAAGAAGAGTATGTTGTGGAGAAGGTGCTGGACAGGAGGGTGATGAAAGGCAGAGTCGAGTTTTTCCTGAAGTGGAAAGGTTATTCAGAGTAAGTCATATCTTGACCAAAACAATGATTAGTACCTGCACAACCCAATTGAGAATGAAATCTACCAAGCTCCCAGTTGCACTCTGCAAGCAAACCAACTAACATCCAATGACCCTTGCTGTGTATATTGACTTGTTTTTCTTAGAAGACACTGTTTTAATGCGGTGCCTCAAAGTATCACAACTCATTGTATTCAAAGTTATCCCATTAATGCTACATGTGATGTAGTATATCCCTCTTAACAGAATGCTACATAAGCCTTTTAAATTATAATTGAAATTAAGAATTATTATTAATTATATTTATTAGTCATAAATGTTAATAATTATATTTTGGCAACAGAAACAACACTTTGTAGTAGTCTAACCCAAACAAAGGAATAGTGTACACAATACTCAAGACTGGCTCTGCATCTATCTATTTTTTTAGTAAGCACAACACATGGGAGCCAGAGAAGAATCTGGATTGTCCTGAGCTTATTTCAGAATTCATGAAGACCTACAAGAAAAGCAGCAGTGGAAGCTCAACACCAAGCACTGGGGGAAAAACAAGCACAAGCTCCTCTGGACGGCCCAAAGACTTGGGTAGCTCGAAAAAGAAAAGCTCAGATGATGACGAGGAGGAAGGTGGAAGTAAATCAAAAAAGAAAAAGGAGGTTAGTAACACACCTGTGCTATAAACTATGTAAGCATAGTTGCTGCTGTTAATAGCAAGATCAGTAAGACTGGGTGATGTACCGAATAGTAGATTTATTTTTAATATGCTGTTCCATCTTCCAGGAGGACATCCTTGTTGCTCGTGGCTTTGAAAGAGGACTTGAGCCTGAGAAGATCATTGGAGCAACTGACTCCTGTGGGGACCTAATGTTTCTGATGAAATGGTGCGTTTGGTTGATTGTCTTGATCATCTAAGTATGGGACATTTACATAGAATGTAACATGGGTTATACATTCATTGAGATGAATGGTCAATTGATCATTTTATGTTGCAAATATTGATCAGTGACAAATTGTTGAGCTTAGTCTTGAATGAAACCAAAAGAGGTGTTCTAGTAGTTTCAGGGTGTCGACATGTCGTGTTAATGGTTTGGACTGGAGCAGAGACAAGGTTTCACTGGTCATGAATTCATGTCTATTTCTGGCAAATTCAAAGCAGCAAAAAGCTTTAGTTTCAATTTCTACATATGGTTTAAGGATTTCACTTTTTGTAGCAGTTGATGTTGCAGATGATCTGGTGTGCAGGATGTGTGGGTGGTAAAGCTGGATGTTCTGAAAGAAACTCCCCAATGTCAGTATTTCAACATTTCAGGAGGCCAGATTATCGTCATTTGTTTTCATTTAAACACTTTAGCTTCATCTACTGTAGACTAATTTAGGACTATGTGGATCTAGTGTGTACATTTAGCTTGGTGTACCTTGCCAATGTGTCAGTGGAATTCATTTATAATTTATTTCTTTCAATCCAAATAGTCTCAGAGGCCTCATTCACATTCAACAGTGTTCAACACTTGGCCCTTGGGCACATAAATATATCACCAGACCTTCAAACGTCTTTGGTATAATAACTTTTAAATATAGCCAAAATAAAAATGGAGCCACCTTATGAAGATAAACAGTTTTTGAATTTGCCAATATTTTTTCACCAGGCCATGTCCATAGTAATGAGCCATGACTTATTATTTTCTGTTGATATTTTGTCAAAAGGTTTGTGTAAATAACCAAACATTATTTTAGTTATTTATATTTCACAAGTGCCAACTTTTCTGGGAATGGCTTCTGTAAATGGTGGTTAACAAATATTAGTAACACTTCAGGTCAAATACTTGTTGTAGATCCAGTATTGGTGTAAAAGCTCTGCCTGCTTTTTGTTCAGCTGACTGTTCACTATGAATGAATTTTTTTTCTTCAAATATTTATAATGTATTCCATCCTTAGTTGTATTGATATACTTTCTAATGTGATGACCAATAGAGGTGCTCTACTAGTTTCAGGGTGTCGACATGTCATGTTCATGGTTTGGACTGGAGCAGATAAATTTTTCTAGGTTTTACTGGCCATGAATTCATGGCTATTTCAGCTCAGATTTGATGTCTTCCAATATTGTGACGCAGTCTTGCATCTAGGCTTTTACAAACATTCTTCTCATCTCTTACAGGAAAGATTCTGACGAAGCTGACCTTGTTCTTGCTAAGGAGGCCAATCATAAGTGTCCACAGATTGTCATAGCCTTCTATGAAGAACGCCTCACTTGGCACGAAGACAGTGAAAAGAAGGATAAGGATGCGGTTACTGCGTGAGTGCAGAAACAATGTGGACTTCCTCTGCTGAAGGGACAAGCTCGATTCAGACATTTTCCCACACCCACCCTTCCTTTTTACCATGCCCACCAACAGAACACCGGTTCCCCAGACTGTTGAGATGAATCCATCCGACGAGAGTAAGAACTCAGATGGACTTGAGTGAGAAGCTACTGGGGAGAGTTTCTGCTTTTCTGTTTTGTATATCTCACCATTTTTTTAAATGTTGTAATACAACTTGTTTTTAGTGTGACAGAATGGGATTAAATCGGGGATTTTGCAATCAGGAGGACAGGGGATCATTTGATAAACTCAGAAAAGACTCTATACTCTATATTCAACTGAAGTACAAGCTTCATCTGAACTTGTCCCGAGGTGGTGCACCATTTTTTGGCAACACACCCTTAAAATAGTATTGATATTCAGGTTGCAACCACAGCAGCATTTCCTTTTTCGGTGTAAAAAAAAACCTCCTTTCAGATATTTTTATCTCTTGTAGAGTTTAATTTGTTTGGTCTACTGGAAAATAGTATACATTTTAACTTTGCAAAATTGTTAAGGACAATGGCCAATTACTGTCTTTTTATTGTAGTGCTGATAACCTTGTTAATTTTTAAAATGTAGACTTTTTCATGTCTTATATCCAGTTTTTTCGAGTTGTGCTTTGTGTAATGTTAATTTCTGTATGATATCACCATTTGATGAAAATGACAATAAAACATTTTACTGTATTTTTTTTTAAACTGACTTTATCCAATGTTTCGTATTGCTAATAATTTCAGCCTCATCAGAGACATTCTTCACACTTTACAGTACACTTAATGCAGAGTTCTGCCACCTTGTGGCTACAGATGGAGTCACTTCTGTCTAAATCACTATAACTAGGGAACTAAAACGCTTCAAATTGAGTATTGTTAAGTTTCCCGACTAAAATATTATAAATCATGTGACTGTGTGGTAATTAAGTAAACACTGGTCTATGATAGAGTGAACACTGGTTTTTGAGGGTGATCTAAGCTACAGAATTAATTCTTGCAAAACAATTTTATAGTATTAACAGACTGTTAAATAATGAACAGATTTATCTACATCACATGATTAACCAAGGTAAAAACGGTTAATTTTTTACATTTTATGGACATTGTTGTACCCACCAAAAACATCTGTATGTGTAAACAACGTTGGTAGAAACTGCACACCAACATTATAAATGTTAGTGAAAATTGCACATAGACAAATTGCTATCTAATTAATTTAATTAAAAGTAACATCTAGCTCAAATACTAATTATCAAAGAACGTAGAATTTAAGTAGATGCAATGTAAGACGATCTCAAAATGGTTGATGTTAAAAAAGAAACTTCAGCCAAATTCAGAAGTAATTTACTTAATGTACATAATGTACCTAAGTCAGGAAAAAATAGCTGATGTTAGTCAGAGAACTGAGCTATTGCCAAAAAAAGGTGAGGCCAGATATAGCAACAAATAAATATTCAGTATATTGAACTACAATAGCTTGAAGCTAGCAACAAAAGCTATAATCTGGCCTCCAGAAATTCTACTGGTTAGTATGGAAAAAGTCAAAAGTTTGGTAAAACTTTGGTTACTTACAAGCTATCACTCAAGCAATAGTGTGGCAGCAAAATAGTTAAAAGTGAACCAAGACTTGGGCAAAAATGTTGCTAAAGGAGCTCCTTAAATTGTAAAAAAGTAAAAAAGTAAAAAAAAAAAAGCTTAAAAGCTACAGCTATGTAATTAACTGCCAGAAACAGCTAAAGGTAACACTAATAAATTAGGGAGTAGAGACAACGACCAAACAAACACTTATAAATACTATAATCAACAATCTTGACAATCTTAAGTTTAGAAATAGCTAAATTGTTGTTATAAACTTAGCATTAATAGCCAATGTTCGGCCTAATGTGGCAGATTTAAGGTTGTGCTAATTTCTGTGAGGAGGCTAAAAACACATCAAAGGTGTTTAGATGAAATCCAGTCTGTTGTCTATGTGTTTCCTCGTTCATTAAATGCCATGGTATCTCTCGTGAATTTTTGTAAAGAAATAGCTGCTCTCATCCACCAGATGTCGCTGTCAAATAACACCAGCACAACAATTTTATGCAAGTCACTTGAACAACTAAAAGTACTGTCTGATTAGTAGTATAACGCTCCATTACGATTCAGTCCACGACATACATACTTACAATTATATGGTTATTTTTAAGCTGAAGAAAACATTTAATCACGCAGTATGAAAGGCCGAAATAAAAAAGCATACATAAAAATATTTATAGCATGTATTATGACCTCAGAGGTATTGAATAAAAGATGGGGGGATATTTAAATTACATCTGCACTTATATATATATATAGAAATAAACATTTAAGAGTTAAACAAAATTTAAAAACAAATACTTCAGTTTTTTTTTGGCTAAATATTTCAACAGCTTATTGTTGGTGCCCTTTAGGTTTTTTGCTGACTTTTACAGTGACAGTCTGTTTTACATCTCTCTCTCTCCTTCTCTAAAACACACACACATGCACATACACTGCTGCTCAGCTACATCTAAAGTGATGGCATTTTCCTAGCAAAAAAGGCTTTTACACTCCAAATGGAATGCAAAGGTCACTAGTAAATTTCCAGCCCCTGGGACCATTAAACCGGGCAAAGGGAGCAGGCAGCAGGCTGTTTTATGGAGCCTGGAGCTGTCTACTGACAAACCCGGGCCAGAAGGTTTGGTTGGGAAGCCACAGTGGTGCTCATGGGAGCGCTGTCTGTGATGACTATTCGGCAAATACAGATGTAAAGGCAGTTCTGCTGTGTGGTCATGAGGCAATGTGAATCTTCATTCAGGCCACATATCAAACGGAGAGTGTGCTCTGACCAAACAATGTCAACAGAGAGCAATTATGGCCTTTTCAGGCTAAATGTCAACTTTCAGGTGTATATGCAGTGTTGTTATATTTTAACAAATATCTCAAAACCACAATGCAGTGTTGTTATATTTTAACAAATATTTTTTAAACCACAGTTTGTCACACTTCCCATTTCTTACTACTTAAAACAATATTAAAGCTCATTAATTCCTTCGAGTTGAGCACAGCAGGAAGTGTGTGAAAATGTGAGCTCAGTTTTGGATGTGAATCATGTATTTACACATTCATATTGCTTCCTTTACACTTCAAACACACTCCCTCTTATACAGCAACTGTTTGTGCAAATGAGCTCCGGTGGGTATTGCCCACAGCAGAGGCGTGTTGTCTTGCAACACATTACAGCAAATGAGTGTCGGGGGAGCCACTGTGCAGCTGTGGAAGGGGAAGACTCTGCTGCATTGGGCCTCATCAGTGTAACACAGCTTGTTCAAGGATACGACTGAATCAACAAACAAATACATGTGCGGCCGTACAGATAAGTTTATCAGCCAGCACAACGCATTTCAAGCCTGACCATAAAAAAAAGGATTCATAGTCTTGGGTTTCAGAAGAAGTGTGAAAATCCCTTTAAAGTGCTGTAAATCACCGGGTATCACAGGCCAGTGTAATTTGATGTGGCCTTTGTGCTGCGCTGTGATCATGTAGGCACAGCTGCCAAACAGCTGCGGCTCCATTGCCTTTTTGCGCCCAGACGAAAAGGTCTGCGCTGATGACTGGCACATCATCTCTGAGCACGAGGCGCTGATCTGTGAGAAGGTGATTGCGATGTGATGCTCTAATTTGGGCGGCTATCACACTTAATGTGCAGTAAAGCACCGTCCACAAAGGTCCTTCCCTCTAAATGCCCCTCTTGCCTGCGCCGCGGCTCTCCCCGCCAACCCTGTGCTGGCTGTCTTTCTCCCTCAGCCCCCACCCCCCCCCCCAACCCCCCCGCCCCCCCCCCCCCCCCGGGGGGAAAAAGTTTATAGCCGCCATAAAAGGCAGGTAATGCATTGTTAACTAATTCTGTCTGCTCAGACCTGATATATCCTCTGCTCTAAATCTCTGTGCTTCCAATAAAATGCAAATGCTAATGCTTGCCCTCCATGAGCTGATATGGTTTTTAACAGGCCAGAGGTGGAGGAGCAGAGGTAGACTGGACACAGTGGGCTTTCACACTGCACCCTGCTCTCAAATGATGACACACACCACAGGCCAAAACTGTACCTTGGTGTGTGTGTGTGTGTGTGTGTTTATGTGTGAATACACTACATGAGGCAGCGTCAGTATCCATACATTTAACCAGAGTGCGGCGTCTGTATAACAGAGGAGCCACAACTTGAAGCATTTCACTCAGTATCGTTTAACGTCAAATAGCTGAGGCCAACTCGCCTGTGGATGCGATACATAATTTTTCCACATTAACAGTAGCGTCATACTTCATGTAACCTTGGGCTTCTAAATATTGATCCACTTCTAGATTTTCAATTATCCTGTGCCGTTTTTCTGCCATCTGGTAAGGACTTGTGATTTGTGTTTCTTCATATCTGGAGGCTTGTCCAGTAATTAGACAATAAATTAATTTGGAGTGAGAAAGCAGAGCCAGGAAGAAAAAAAGGGGGGTGGGCAGAGGGGTGAGAGATTCGAGGCATTAAGCAAGTCCTTGGTGGTTAGAGACAGAAAATCACAGGAAACCGCAGCACAGTGTTTTATTCACTCAAACAGGATAATTGGATTACAAATTCCGACGCCATAACTTTTCCGTTCCTGCATATGCCAATTGTTTTTCTTTCACGTATTTAAAACCAAGCTGCTGCTGCTGGTGATTGCTTACAAGCCAGCTCGTCAGTGAAGGACCAGGAATCATCCACTGACATAATTATATCTAATTACCCAGAGTGGAGCAACAAAAATGATTAGGAAAAATGGGACATATTAGTGTCAAAATGTGTGTGAAACTTTGCGGGGAAATGTGCTGTGAATCCATCAGTGGATTTTAAATGACCCCCCTACGAAGGCACACAACAACTGTGCGCTTTGAAGCTCGCTCTTATTTACAACACAGCACAAGAGGAGGCACTAAAAATCCAAATGCGTCTTGATTGATTTTAAATTGGGAGTATATGCTCTCCTGTGAGATTAGCTCATTGTCCCCCGCTGCTAAATTACACACAGTGATCGAGGCTGTCGCTACAGTGTGTGAACATAACAACTGCAGTTCTCTTTGCCATGTGGAAATTCACATTAGACAAGCCTAAGATACTCGCGTGAGACAATTACGAGCGAAACTACGTAACCGAATGGGCTTTTCCGTGCGACGGCAAATGCAATATCAGCGGGATCTTAGTTTAAAGCACAGCAAAAAAAAAAAAAAGCCTGTTGGGTAGAAGAGGAGGGGGGTGAGAAGACGGTGAGGAGGGAAGCTGTCGTGTACCTGCTCTCCATGACACCTTGGGTGTCGTTAAGCGAGGCCACAGCTGCTGGCGCGCTCTGATCTTATCTCGTGGCATTCGAGAGCCAAGGTCAGCCGTAGCAGAGCCCTGTTCTCCATCACACATGCTGTCCCTCAGCCCCAGCCTCCCTGGTGAAACAAGCCTTACTGCCGCACAGAGACAGACAGCATGTGTCCCTGAATTTATGATGGCGACTTATAGGAGGCCTTTCACGTTAAAAGTCATCTTGAGTTTCCCCAGTCTAGCCGAATGTGCGGCGAGCGTTAATCCATTAACATTCAGAGCAGACACGTACCCGGGCTGGCTTTCTGCCCGCCCTGAGCCCTGACAGTCTCTGACCCAGCGCTGACCACAGCATTCTCC